CTTCCAACGACTGCCTCTTGGTCTATGTACAGGTTCCTCATGAGCATAACTAAGTGTCCAGAAGTTCCCATTCATCTTAGTGTTCTCTGTAATTTATTACGATCCACACAGTAGAATACCTTTACATAGTCAATAAAACACAGCTAGACATCTTTCTGGCATTTTATTTTATTTTTTTTAGCCACGATCCATCTGACATTTGAAATACCGGTGTCAGAACTCCTGGCATTACGGCATCACCCTGACAGAGGAGGGATGGAAATAACTTCATATATTTTTCCTTTGCCAGTCCAGGCTAAAGAAAATGTGTCTTAAATTGATAGACTGTAACAGCAGACATTGTTCTGTCAGTGAAATTAAACTTGAAAGAAATGTCTCAGTCTCCTGGGGCTACTATAGCAAAAATAATAACACGTGGGCAGCTTTGAAGAAAAGAAATTTATTTTCTCACCGTTCAACAAGTTACAAGTCCAAACCAGAGTGCTATCGTTTGTTGGTTCCTTCCTTGTGGGTAACCCAGGGCGATCCTTGGCTCTTGGGTTTGTAGACAGTCCTTATAGGACCTCTGTCTTCCTTTGTGTGTGTCTAATCTGCTGTTTTCACCACTCAGAAATGATTAGATTTAGGAAACACCCAATTCACGTACGATCTAAGTAACACAGCAAAGAAAACCTTGTTTACATTTCAGAGTGTGCGGGGGACGGGAGAGTCCCCACTGAATAGTTTTCATCTTGTCTAGACGGGTCTGGTGAAAGGAGATGGGGATAAGATTCTTAGGATTCAATCGTGAGTAATTGTTGTCATGACTAACTGCCATGGTCACAAGTGTAAAGGTAGAAGTTTTGTAACAAAAACGGGGGAGTAGTTATAGTCCAGGAACAGAGGACCCTAGGACCATCAAGGGAGAAGAGTGTAAATGGAATGTGGGACCCTATCCAGAGAAGCAGTGACACCAGAGATGGAGGCAGAGATGAGGACACGGAGAGAGTGAGCAGCTGAGGACTCTAGACTCATGGAAAGAGACGGACTGAGAGCTGGAAGCCAGGAGGCAGGCTTGTAGAATGTGCCCTTTGGTTGTTTAAATCATTATATATTCCTGAGTGTTTTTATGTACACCCCCCGAAAAAAAGGGGGGGAATAGAAGCAAATACTGTTGAATGATGATGCATGGAGGAGATTGTAATCATTGCAATGATACAAAATACAATAGGATGAGTGTAAAACCAGTGTTCTCCCATGTAAACTATCACTCAATTCACAATAAAAACTTTAAAAAACTCCTGTTTACTAACAGGATCCCACCCATGCACATGTTGTTGTTTTTATAGGTAGCCTGTGATTCCAACTAGAGGTGCCCCCCTGTGCCCCACCCTTCATGTGACCAAGTAGAAGTGCTCTGTAGGGGTTTTGTGACTGTCATTTTAGGCATATAGTTTTTTTTTTTTTGATGTTTTATTGTGAATTTTGTGATAGTTTACATGGGAGAACATTAGCTTTACATTCATCCTGTTTTATATCATTTCATTGCCATGGTTACAATCCCCTCTATGCATCATCAACCAACCAAAGGGTATACCCTGCAAGCCTGCCCCCCAGTCGTCAGCACACAGCTCCTCTCTCTCTGTTTCTAAAGTCCCCAGCTGCTCCATCTCTCCACATTATTGTCTGTCTCCATCTCTGGCATCACTGCTTCTCTGGGTAGGATCCCACTCTCTACTCTTCTCCTACGGACATAGTTTGCCAGGACTTTCTTCTGCAGCAATGCTGGATGAGATCAAACCGCCAACCTTTAGGTTCATATCAACCAAAATACCAAACCCAGTGTTGTTGACTGAGTTCCGACTCTTAGCAGGGCAGAGTAGAACTCTCTTACAGGGAGTCTGAGGCTGCAAATCTTCATGGTAGCAGACAACCACATGGTTCTCTTGAGGAGCAGCTGGTGGGTTCGAACCACCGTCCTTGCAGTAAACAGTTGAGTGGGTAGACAGTGAATCAACAGGACTCCTTTTAATATATACAATGAAAAAGTCAACTTGCTGCTATTAGGGCAGAATAACCCTCCCTCCCTGGAGTCCTGGTGTGGCCCTGTAGGATAATGCACTGGACTGCAAGGTCAGTTTGAACCGCAAGGTCGGCAGTTCAAGGTCAGCAGGTGCTCTTTGGAAACACTGTACAGGGTCACTGTGGGTCAGAACTGACTGGACCGCATTAAAAAGCAACATAATATCTTTCCAGGAGCAGACCGCAACTTAGTATCATTCCAGGGACAGACAGACTCATCTTTGTCCTGAGGAGTGACTGGTGGGCTCGAACTGCTGACTCTTCAGTTAGCTGTCCAGTGCTTAACCCATGATGCCACTAGGAGGCCTTAGATTACTTGTTGTTGTTAAGTACTGTTGAGTCAACTCCGACCCATGGAGACCCTGCATAGAGTTTCCAAGGAGCAGCTGGTGACCTTGAACCACTGACCTTGCAGTTCAAATGGCTTTGCAGTCTGTAGTCACGGGCAAATTGTCCCACACAGACTGTTTAGTCTTGGTTCCTCATTCAACATGTATTTTTGGGGAGACATGATTCAACATCGTACAGAGATATATTTTTCCTTCCTAATCATGGAGACTTTTTCTGAGGATAAGCACGGGATTACTACCTGCAAGCTGAGTGGTTCAAATCCCTGAGCCACTCCTTGGAAACCTGCTACAGGGTTGCTATGAGTTGGAACCAACTGGTCAGCACTTAACAACACTATATATGTGTGTGTGTGTAAGGAGCCCTCATGGTGTAGTGGACTGTGAACTGCCCTGCTAACCACAAGGTCAGCAGTTTGAATCTCTAAGTCGCTCTACGGGAAAAAGAAGACGTTTTTCTGCTCCCCAAAAGATTTATAGCCTCGGAAACCATATATAAGGGCACATGAGTCAGAATCAACTCTTAACAATGTAGGTAACGTGGATGAGTCAATTTATCTTTTCTCTTTCTTTTAGTTGGAAACAATGAAGGAAAATCTCAAGAGGTTGTCAAGAAGCTCCAAGAGGAAACGCTGAATGACAAAGGTATTGTCTGATAGTCAAAGGATCTTTCTTTTGGGAGACACACTTGGAGGTGGGGCTCAGGATTCACATCCAGACTTGCAGACAAGGGGATGGGGGCCGCTGATGGTGAGTGTGTTTGTGATGCTTTTCTCTGGGGGATTCCTGTTCCCCATGAGAGTCAGAAGGGGATGGTTGTATCA